GCAAACCATCCAGCTTAAAGGAGCTTGAGCAGTTTTGCAAGGAGGAATGGGCAAAAATTCCAATGGTAAGATGTGGCAAGCTCATAGAGACTTATCCAAAGCGACTTGGAGCTGTGATTGCCGCAAAAGGTGGCTCTACAAAGTATTGACTTTAGGGGGGTAAATAGCTATGCACATTGACTTTTTCTGTTAATTTGTCCTATTTGTTGTTTGTTTCACAACAATCTTCACAAAAATCTTCAAAGTTGTGGGAATGTTCTGTAAATTAAATGATGCAAATCCTCAAACAATCCATGTTAATTGCAGGTTGTGAGGCAACAAAACACGAGAAATGCCAAGGGGGTGAATACTTTTGCAAGGCACTGTAACTGTGTGTGTGTGACTGTCTGTCTGTACACATAACACACATAAACCCAGCACAAATATCACACACAGCCAATACTCACATATATCACACACAGCCAACAAATAGCATACATATCACACACACACACTATGCATGGATGAATGGATATAACCAGGGAGGGAAACTGTGAAGATTTTTTGCACAGGGTGCCTTAGATCAGCCTTGAGCATTGCATGGTCCAGCTTCTTCTAGGTAAGATTAATTATTATGATCAGTCGACATAATAATTGGATCTTTAGAATATTCTAAAATATGCCCCCATTATTTTGAGGCAACTACAACAATGATGGCTCTTTGTGCTCTATAATGTTCAGCTTGATATAGTTTTCTGGAATAAAACCCACACGGATGTAATGGTTTGTCTCTGGACTCATGCTGTGATAAAACAGCTCCTACTCCTATTTCAGAAGCATCCATATCCACAATAAAATAAACTGAAGGATCTGGATGTCTGAGAATAGCAGAAGAAACAAAAGCCTTTTTTTAGCTTTTGAATTGCTTCAATATCTTCAGGGGGACATACATAGTGGTTAGAACCCATTTTAGTGAGACTGGTAATTGGGGCTACCACAGAAGAAAAATCCTTGATGAATCTCCTGTAGTAGTTGGCGAAATTCATGAAAGATTGTATAGGTTTCAAACCCTGTGGTAATGACCACTCTAAAACGTCAAACCATTTCTTAGGGTCCATTCTGACTGCAGAAGCAGATATCATATAACCAATGAGCTATACTTTGGATTTATCAAATAGACATTTTTCCAATTTACAGTATAAACCATTATTAAGAAGTGTTTGTAACACCTTTGACACATCTAGATAACATGTATGAAGATCAGAAGAATAAATCAGTATGTCATCTATATACACTATCACATAAGAATGGATATATTCTCTGAAGACATAATTTTAAAAATCTTGGAAAACAGCAGGGGCATTACAAAAGGTCAAAAGGCATGATGGTATACTAATAATGGCCTCTTCTTGTACTGAATGTGGTTTGCCATTCATGGCCCTCCTTAATTTGTACCAAGTTATAAGCACCCCTAAGATCTAATTTGGTAAATGCAGAATGCTCCCTTCAATACATTAAACAATTCTGTGATTAAAGAGATAGGCTAGGTGTTCCTTATCATTATTTTATTTAATCACTATAATAATTGCATGGCCTTAAATACCCCTCTTTTGTAGAGACAAAAAAATAAACCTGCACCTGCCAAAGAAGACTTATGTATAAACCCTTTTTCCAAAGATTGCTAGATATACTCCTCCATTATCTTATTCTCCTAGAGTGGTAAAGGATAAACTCCTTTATCACTGCCTTTAGTAGATACTGTGTCTGGTATAAGGTCTATGGAGCAGTTACAGAGTCTATGAAGTAGTAACGTATCAGCCTCTTTTTTCGTCAAAGCAGATCTAATATGCAGATATGGAGGCGTTATATCAGTAGTTAAAGGTAGGGCAGTGGGAACATTAATGGAATGCAAAGGAGTAGCCTCTTTCTGGCATAGAAAACTCCAGGGATAACCAGGGATATCTCAAAATGATTGGAGAAGAGGGAGACACATTTTTGGGAAACACAGTCTCTCAGTGTGCAGTAAACTTGAACACAATTCCAGTGACTTAGTCTCTTGTGTTAACAGAGGAGAATACAATGGTCTTACCACCTATCACTTCCATGGCCAAGGTTGCCTCCTTGTCTTTTTAAGGAAATTCATGGATTTTAACAAAACCTTTATCAACAAAATGATCAGCTGCTCCAGAATCTATAAGAGCTTGTTTATCGAACAATTTATTTTCATAAAACAAGGTGATAGGGAGAAGAAATTGTTTCTGAGACAAGAAAGGGGACTTAGATGTCCCCTGAGAGACCTTAGGTGTGAGAGTTTTCCAGAAGCATCAAACAATCAATCCTGAGTTGTCCCTTTTTTTCTGTCCTCCACTGAAGCACATTCAATGGGGAGTGTGAGCATCAGAACTGGACCATGGAGCAATGGAAGAAGGTGTCCTGGTCTGATGAATCACATTTTCTTTTAGGATGGCTGGGTGCATGTGCTTTGCTTACCCGGGAAAGAGATGGCAGCAGGATGCACTATGGGAAGAAGGCAGGCCAGTGGAGGCAGTGTAATACTCTGGGCCAAGTTCTCTTGGCAAAACTTGGGTCCCGAATGTTACTTTGACATGTACCACCTACCTAGAGATTGTTGCAGACCACATATTCCCCTTCATGGCAATGGTGTTCACCGATGCCAGTGGCATCTTTCATTGAGATATTATATCCAGTTACCCCTTAAAAATTGTTCAGGACTGGTTTGAAGAACATAACAAAGAGTTCAAGGTGTTGCCTTAGCCTCCAAATTCCCCAGATCTCAATCTGATTGAGCATTTGTGGGATTTGCTGGAACAACAAATCTGATCCATGGAGGCCTTACCTCACAACTTGCAGGACTTAAAGAATAACTTATAGGATGGTAATTCCTTGGTGCCAGATACCACAGGACATGTTCAGATGTCTTCTGGAGTCCATACCTCAACGTATTAGAGCTGTTTTGGCAGCGTGTAAAGGACCTACACAATATTAGGCATGTGGTTTTAATGTTGTTTCTGATCAGATATATATATATATATATATATATATATATATATAGAAGACAACAAGTAGAAAGGCTGCTCTCCGGATTTAAAACAAAAAATTTATTTAAACATATTTAAAAACCACGACCAACGTTTCGGTCCCCGCTCGGGACCTTCCTCAGGGTCAAAAAATAGAACAACAGAACAATACAGTAAAGTGCAATCATGGACAATAAATACCTAAATCTATAATGGAAGTACTCACTCAGGTGTGTTCCCCCGTGTTCCCGCCGACACCCTGTACTCTTCCGGGTATGCGCGCGCATGTTAATGCGTCACGCCCCTCACGTTGCGTGCCTACGTGTCGGATACTACCGTTGCCGCGGCAACCATGTAAACAAATCCTTGTGTTCATACAAACCAGTGCGACGGACTGAATGATAAATAACACAAATAATATAAATCTGGGGATCTAAAAGTACAAAGAGTGTTAGGTGTAAGAAAGTGATTAGAGTGTATAGTAAGCTATTAGATAGCTATATATATCATTAAACATTATAGAGACATGAATATGACTCACTAAATGCCTAAATAACTTATAAATTAACCCATCCTGGGTGTTTAAAGCAACACTACACCAGAAAGTGATCCAGTGCAAATACAATAGTCTAAAGTGTTAATAGTGTCAAAAAAGTGCGAGAAAAGTGCTAATGGTGCAAATAAAGTGCTATGTAAAAGTGCTACTGTATAAAGTGCTTAACAGATCATGGTATGCTTTGCCATCTATATATACATAACATAATTATATATAACAACAATTATAATCACTTTCCATACATTAAAATCACAAAATACTAAACAAAAAAATAATAGGCATGAATGTAAAAATTAAAACTTAACTAGCTGTGAACCTTCATATAAAAGAATGCTATGTGTTACTTTCATTTAACCCCATAGGAGCCACTGTATTTAGTTGGTGGATCCAAAAGGCTTCTCTTTGAAGTAGCATCTTTCCCCTATCACCACCTCTACGGGGGGGAGGGATATGATCTATGCCCACAAACTTCAGTGATGCCAATGGGTGTTTTTGGTCAAGGAAATGCTGAGCCACTGGTTTGTCCGATGACCCGTCCCTATAGGCTAATCTAATGCTCGACCGGTGGCCTCTGATCCTTTCACACAACTGTGTCTCCGTTTTACCCACGTAATAAAGCCCACACGGGCAGACTAACTTGTATACAACAAATTGAGTCTTACAAGTGATAGTATGTTTTATATCAAAAATCCTATTCGTGTGTGGATGGTTAAACTTCTTCGCCGGAGTCATATGTCCACACGTCACACACCCAAGACAGCGTACACTTCCTCGTATGTTGTGTTTCACCAACTCAGTATAGCTCTCCACTGAATCGGTATGAACCAATATGTCTCTAAGGCTCTTGTTCTTTTTGTAACAGATAAGAGGTCTTTCCTTAAAGACCTTTGGCAATGTATCGTCCGCTGAAATCATCTTCCAATTGTCCTTAACAATAGCTGATAAATGGCCAGACGAATTATGGAAGGTCATTGGAAAAACCAAATTTGGTTCACGTGTCTTTCTTGGGTGTACCGGAGCCAAACGGGCTTTCAACAGAGCATCATCCAACACATGAGTATCATATCCTCTTTCCAAAAATTTCTGGGTCATAGCCTTAAGCTGTACTTCAGCCTTATCTTTATCCGAATTGTTCCTGATCACCCTCTGGAACTGAGCTTTGGAATTGATTTTTTCAGGGCAGGAGGGTGTGCACTTCTAGCGTGCAATAACGTGTTACGGTCCGTAGGCTTCGAAAACAAAGTATACTGGACACAATTGTTGCCATAAGAAAGTTCTAAATCCAAAAATTGGACACAATCAGCACTAATGTTAGCTGTAAACTTTATAGGTTGCGGTAATGTGTTCAACTCTTCCACCATAGTGGCTGCTTCCATATATGTACCCCGCCAAATGATCAGCAAATCATCTATATAGCGGTAGTACCCGATGATTCGATCCTGATAAGGGATTAAAATGTGTGTAGATTCATATACATGCATGTACGCATTGGCGTACATAGGAGCCATCGCCGACCCCATTGATGTACCGGCCACCTGCAAATACCATAGGTTTTCAAACCGAAAATAGTTGTTATGAAGTATAAGAGACAGCAACTCCAACACAAACTCAATAGGTGGTCCTTGATAAATGGAGGACTCACTCAATACTTGTCTCATTGCTTCAATGCCCCCTATATGGGGGATCACAGTATATAGACTTTTTACATCCATGGTGATAAAGATTGGAGCTGTATTATTAAAATCCAACTCTTTAATTCTGTGTAGCAATGTTTGCGTGTCTTTAATGCAAGTATGTAGTTGTTCAACCGGCCCCTTGAAAACAAAATCAAGCCATTGGGCTATAGGTTCCAAAATACCATCGATGGCTGAGACAATAGGCCGACCAGGAGGTCTGTTGATATCCTTATGGATCTTGGGAATGCTGTAAATAATTGGAGTACGAGGAGATAGTTTGTGTAAAAATCTATATAATTCCAAACTGATAAAATCCGCTCTAAGGCCCATCTCTAATACATCCAAAATTTTCCTTTGGATCTCCAAAGTAGGATCTCCCACTAGGGGACGATATGTACTCACATCTTGGAGTTGTCGTTTCAAATCTTCAGCATAATCAGTGTAGTTCATAAGAACAATACCCCCTCCTTTGTCCGCTTGACGAATGACTATAGAGTGGTCCTGTGCAAGATTTTTAAGTATTAAACGTTCACCTTTAGAAATATTATGTGCCTTATTGTCAGTTTTGGAGAAGATGTCTTGTGCCATCTTAGATGTAGTCGTCAGAAAAGTCTTAATGGATGCTCTGGTGGATGGCGGGTCAAAAGTAGATTTCACTCTAAATTTCCCATACCCTATAGGCACATTCTGTACTTTTTCCTTATGGGTAGTATGAAAAAATTCTTTAAGTCTCATGTTTCTACCCATCTTAAACAGCTCCGTGCTCCACTTAAAGGAATTAGCATAACTCTATAGAAAGTGATTATAATTGTTGTTATATATAATTATGTTATGTAGATGGCAAAGCATACCATGATCTGTTAAGCACTTTATACAGTAGCACTTTTACATAGCACTTTATTTGCACCATTAGCACTTTTTTCGCACTTTTTTGACACTATTAACACTTTAGACTATTGTATTTGCACTGGATCACTTTCTGGCGTAGTGTTGCTTTAAACACCCAGGATGGGTTAATTTATAAGTTATTTAGGCATTTAGTGAGTCACATTCATGTCTCTATAATGTTTAATGATATATATAGCTATCTAACAGCTTACTTTACACTCTAATCACTTTCTTACACCTAACACTCTTTGTACTTTTAGATCCCCAGATTTATATTATTTGTGTTATTTATCATTCAGTCCGTCGCACTGGTTTGTATGAACACAAGGATTTGTTTACATGGTTGCCGCGGCAACGGTAGTATCCGATACGTAGGCACGCAACGTGAGGGGGCGTGACGCATTAACATGCGCGCGCATACCCGGAAGAGTACAGGGTGTCGGCGGGAACACGGGGGAACACACCTGAGTGAGTACTTCCATTATAGATTTAGGTATTTATTGTCCATGATTGCACTTTACTGTATTGTTCTGTTGTTCTATTTTTTTACCCTGAGGAAGGTCCCGAGCGGGGACCGAAACGTTGGTCGTGGTTTTTAAATATGTTTAAATAAATTTTTTGTTTTAAATCCGGAGAGCAGCCTTTCTACTTGTTGTCTTCTACATGCTTTGGAGCTCTGGTGGTGCGCCCGGTATTGGACCATGTTGCAAGCGTGAGTGCAGGGGACATTTCGATTTTTATATATATATATATATATATATATATATATATATATATTTATATAAATATATATAAATACAACTTGGCACTCACCCCTTTACAATATACAATCTAGTAATCTATATATAATCCAAACAAAAAAGGGGGGAATTAAGAGGTCTTTCAAATGTGCTTTTTTTTTTTTTTTTTTTTTAAGAATATAAATATTGTTTATCCTGATCGACATTTCGACCTATTCCGGTCTTTTTCAAGAACAATGCAACAGTGTAAAAATGCAAATAAATAGGAAAAAGTGAAAATAAACTTACCAATCCAGTGTGTGTGCAGCCTGATCCCCTCCAAACCTGGAAAAGCGCAAGCAGGACACATGACATGCGTGCATTTGTGTGTTTACCGTGGTTGCTAATCATGGGTGTCCGCAGGAATTTTTCCACGGGGGGGCATAATTGTAATGACATCCATGCTTGGTACCTTTTTGACAGTGTCATGAAAGGGAAGGGGCACAGCCATTATCACATAAAGCCAGGGTGAATAGCGTTTTCACAACTATGGTGTCATATGTTTGTATTCCTGACACTATAGTGTTCCTTTAAGCAAATTAAAGGACCATTCTGGTCACCATAACAACTTCACCTAAATGAAAGTGCTATGATGCCAGGAAGCCCCTGGGTGCTCGCTTTCCTTTAAGGGGTTAAATCGCTCTCAAATGGTTTAACCCCAAAGGTTTCCTCCAGCTCCAGGTCGCTCAGTGGTATTTGGCTTCTGAAACAGAGTGTCAGGAAGTGCAGATTGACGTCAGGCATGGGTGCCGATGATTGGCTAGAGTGGACAGTTGACGCTCTAAGCCAATCGCTAGTTCCCGGTTCATAAAATATTTTTACTTTTTTATGAATGGGGAGCTACTGATTGGCTTAGAGTGCCAGCTGACCGCTCTAGCCAATCAGCAACACCCCTACCCAACGGCACTCTGTGCTTCCTGACAAAAAAATAAAATGAACACATTAACACCGATATTTTTTTACCTTTGGAGATGAGAAGGTCCAGTGTCTCCCTGCCTGGCCCAGGTACCAAAGCCTTAGGATGTGGTGTCCAGAATAAAGTGGAGGGTTCACTTCATTTGTCCTTCCTGCTCCAATCTCCTTTTCCTCTCCTTCATTTGACAGTCTTTTTTTTTTCTTCTGACACTGTTTTCTATCCTTGGCCCCTTCTGCTCGTTTACCTTTCTGCTACTTTCTGCTTATTTTGCGACCTTCTGCTCCTTTCTCATTCTGATCCCTTTCTGCTCCTTGCAGACCCTTTCTGCTCCCTTTTCTACTTTACCTTTGTGCTCCTTGCTGTCCCTTTCTGCTCTTTCTACTTTACCTTTGTGCTGCTTTACCTTCCAGCTCCTTGCTGACCCTTCCTGTTCATTTCTGTTTCTTTGTGCTCCTTCTCCTACTTTACCTTTTGTGCTCCTTGCTGTCCCTTCCAGCTCCTTGCTGCCCCTTTCTACTCCTTGATTTCTGTTCCTTCTCCTTTTCTCACTTTACCTTCCTGCTCCTTGCTGACTCTTCATGTAGGCTGTCTCCCCCATCCCTCACTTCCATAGTGAGTTGGGTGTGCCTGGGTACACCCTAATCCCTGTGGCACGCCAATGGATTGAGACCGGCAGGGGAGATCTCTGGATCTCCCCGGTCGGCTCATGCAGAGCCGACACTGTCCGAGCGGCGGCTCTGGTCTAAGCCTCCATGGGCCGGTGGGGAGATCAAAGTTCTACCTCACCGGTCCACAGCAGCATGAAGGGAGGCAGCAGAGAACCCGGGCTAGAGTTCACTCTCCACTGAACCACCAGGGAAGGCAGCAGGACTGGGATATTAACTAATCTGCCCCCACTTCCACCCAAACATACAGCACACACACACACAGCACCTACACACATACAGCACACACAGCCCACAAACAGCAACCAACATCACCCTCGCACACACAGCACCCACACACATACAACACCCACACACCCAGCACACTAACAGCATCCTCACAAACACACAAAACCCACACACAGCACACTAACAGGACCCGAACAAACACGCACACACAAACACCCTCTCACACATACACACACACAGCACACTACCAGTTCTCTCACACACAGCACACAAACAGCACCCTCACACACAGCACACTAACAGCACTCTCACAAACACACACAAAAACACAGTCACCCACATAGCACACTACCAGCACCCTCACACACACAGCAGTATATATATATATATATATATATATTTATATATATATATATATATATACATACATACACACACATACACATGGCGTGTGTTTGTGATTTAGGGTGCACACCCTAATGCAATATGCTCACTAATCTGCTCACTCCCCTAATCTATAGGCTGCTGACCCCCTCCAGCCTCACTCCCCTAATCTATAGGCTGATGCCCCCAGCCTCACTCTAATCCTATATGTTGCCCTCCCTAATCAATAGGCTGCTGCCTCTAAAATCTATGGGCTGCTGCCCCAAATCTATAGGCTGCTGCCCCCTCCCCAAATCTATGGGCTGCTGCCCCCACCCATGGGCTGCCACCCTATGGGCTGCTACACCCCAAATCTATGGGCTGCTGCCCCCAAATCTATGCTGGGCTGCTGCCCCACCTCAAATCTATGGGCTGCTGCCCCCAAATCTATATTGCTGCCCCCTCTCCCCCAAGTCTATAGGCTGCTGCTCTATAGGCTGCTCCCCCAAGTCTATAGGCTATCTTACACCCTCCCCCCACTTACCTGATCTGTAGGCTGTCTCTGGCTGCATGTGTTGTTCCCCTGCGGTTTCAATCAGCAGAGAGAAGCAGGGATAAGATACAGCTTCCTATCCCTGTCTCTCTCCATACACTGGCCGGCACCGGTATTGCAGTTCATTTTCAATCACACGAAAAATAGCAGAACAAGCTGAAAAATCCAGGGGGGGGGGCAAGTGCCCCCCTTGCCCACCCCTGCGGACGCCCATGTTGCTAATTAAACCAAATAAACAAACAGGCTGAAAAGTTGCCAAAACCTATATAGGTGTAAATTACATCTATCACATATGGAGGACTGAATAACTGTGCAACTGTATAGTGCTAAGTGAAGTGGGAAAAAAACATGACGTAGTAATGTGATACCAAAAACCCATACAGTCCCAAGTACAAGATTATGCAAAGAAACTGTAATATGTAAAATATATGCAAAAAAAACAAGATAAATACATTAGACAAAATTCACATATATTGTGAGTATACTGTTGTATATCACAGATTGGAACGGTATGACATGCTGTGTGTCAAAATATGCAGATCCTGATAATACAGTCGGAAAGGTCAGCCTTCGGGAGTTCCTACATGAAATAAACTAATGGTTCCCAAGGCTC